TTTTATGCTCTTCTTCTGATTTTATATTTTTATTCTGGACTCCAGTAGAGTAACTGTGAATGATTCACAGTTCAAAGAAACACTTATTTATCTTATACTGGTAGCTGGCACTCACCTCTAAATGTGAAATTTGAGGCACATTTAATGTTGACATAATCCAAATATTATAACATTTTAAAGGGTCTCTGCCAGAGAAGCTTGAAATGTGAACATGAATAAAAATTATCATATTACTTCTAATTTCTTAAGGACCGTCTTCAAACTTCACAACAATATAAAACACCTTGGGGGGCATGAGTACCTAGGGTGGCTAAGCATTTGGCCTTGTCCTACATTGTTAGTGTCCAAGGACAAGGTTGACCTTGAAAAACAATTCCAAGAGACCATATCGAATAATATATCATATGAAAAGGCATGGAGAGAGCTGTACAACACATTTTAGTACAATGCCCTATAACGTCACAATGATGCCATAAAGTTTTACAAAATTTTAAATCTTAATCTTATATCTTAAAAATATAATATTTTATAGTTTATAAAGGCCAAAGATTCTGTTCAAATCATATGGGCAAAGATAATACAATACACCATTAAGCATCACATATTTAGTATGTAATGCTTCAAGGTCATAGGTCAAAGGTCAGACATCAGCATGTTGCAATAAAAACATCAACGTTTTAGTATAGACCTTGCTCTTCGGAGGGGGGAGGTGCTGGTCTCTGAGCACTCTTGTTGGTTATATGATGTTGCCTCGCAGTTGCATAAGCTCATCAGTCCTTCAGCCAGATAAGCTAAAAATTGCCTCCTACCTCTTTTTCCAAATCATTTTTCCAAAACTTTGATAGAAAATGGCATGAGGTCAGGGAAAGGTGTTGAGGAGATTTTATAAGGAGTTGGAAAAGCGAACATAACAGAGAACCATAGGTGAAAAACATCACCTAATTAGAACAGTAATTACTTCTTTTTTAAAGACAGATGAATAAAGAGCCTGAAAGTGAAATGAAATGTTTGTCACATTGAGATTTTTTTGCTCATCCTGTCCGCACATTATTTTCTCTTCCTGCTAGAGAGATGATCCAATTGTTATTAAAGCTTTCTGTGACTTAAGTTGGAATAATCAATGATTGCAAAGGTAACAATAGAGCAAAAACAGAACTAGTGCAAATATAATTTTATTGAACTTTAATGATCATTTAACTCTTCCTCATTCATTTTTTTAAATATACAATTTTATGTTCTTTGTGTAAGGCAAAAATTTAAGACATTAAGTCATAATATGATAATTTCACAGCTCACCTGTGGCTTTAAGGTGTTTGAAAGTTTAAAATATGTCTGAAGTGAAATGGAAAAAGCATTCCTAATTAATATTTATGTAATCTGTGCCACCTGTCAGTTGATAGGTTTTAAATCTGGGGTGGCTGTAGCTCAGGAGGTAGAGCAAGTCACCTACTAACCAGAAGGTTGGTGGTTCGATCGTAGGCTGCTCCAGTCTGCATGCCAAATATCCTTGGGCAAGATACTAACCCCAGGTTGCTCTACGATGCATCCATTGGAGTGTGACTGTGTGTATGAATGTTAGTTAGACAGCACTAAAAACTTAGAAAAGGGATTGGGTGAATGAACGAGTTTTGTAAAGCACTTTGAGTAGAAAAGCGCTATATATATAAGAACCAGTCCATTTACCAAATCTGTTTCTATGCCCGTGAATCTCTGTGAAGCTTTACATGTGATAGTGGGGTATAAAAAAATCACTGATTTTTTGAACAATGACAGATGGTGCACTTTTATGAGCTGTGCAGCTTTTCCTTTTATAAAGAACGGTCCAATATATCCTCTTCTAAAGGTAATGAAGGAAGCAAATACTCTTCTCAATATTTAGAACAGCGGTCCCCAACCCCCGGGCCACGGACGGTTGGGGTACTGGTACCGGTCCGTGAGTTGTTTGGTACCGGACTGCAAGAGTTGAGGCTCGGGTGCGATATTCATGGTTTTCAGGGTTTTTATCATTATTTTTTTAACGTTTTTATCGTTAACCTGGTTTCCTTGGGTCTTTTCCCATGTGTTATGAATAATATTTTTTTTGGTACCAGTGCTGGTTTTATTTTGTTGTATTTATCCGCAACATCTTAAAGGTTGGTCCGTGAAAATATTGTCGGACATAAACCGGTCCGTGGCACAAAAAAGCTTGGGGACCGCTGATTTAGAAGATTTCACTGTGGCTCGCATTAAGTCATGAACCTTCCTCAGCAAATTTGTCTTTCCTGTCAACAGGTGGTTCAGATGTATCACAGATAATCTTAACTGGTTCTCATTGTGTTTATTTACTTCCCAGGCAACAGTGATGTTAAGAGTGTATCATACATTTACATCCAAATCTATACTCTGAGGAAAGAAAAATAAATCACAAGCACCTCATACTTGAATTTTCAAAGTTGCCAAATCGAGGAACAAATGAATCAAGAACCAATGGGTACAAATCAGTCATTTTCTAAAACAAAAACATCTCTAAATATATCTTCTGAGAGAGCGAGAGAGAATATGTATGAAACATATTAAAGTTATTTTATTTAAAAAGCACTGTTTACGGGTAGGGGTTGAATTACGGACTCATTAACGACGTTGCAAATGCCAAATGAGTTCACCCGATAACAAGCTAATGTAGGGCAACGATCATCAAAGTCAAATGGGAGGCAACATGGATGCTCACCGCTTGATGTAGGCCAATGTCATAAGGCATATAGCAGCAACTGGAGCCTGAATCTGCTCCACTGTATTTTGTTTTCTTATCATGAGTAGAAATATATTGCACTTTGAAGACAAAATGAAAAAATAATCTCACAGGTAACGACAGACACAAGTACCACAGAAGAGAGTCATGCATGTCCTGATGGGCTTCTTGGAGGCCTCTTTTGAGGTAAGTCTACCACGGTGAAGCTGAATCTCTGTAGCACGGTCCGAGTCGCGGAGGGTTAACCGTCCTTTGGAGGAGGCGGCCCAAACTGCTGCGCTTCATAATCTTTTGAGGGTATCTATTTGAATACTGGTGAACAGACATCTCCCTTTGCGGCTGTGTTTTAGAGGCATTTAAGCACAGTTTAGCAGCCTGCCCTCCCGCTTGCTTTTCCTCTTGTGGTTCTTGGCAAACGTCACTTTTCTCGTAGAACACAGACGCCCGCGTCACACCGCTGGGTCGCCATCGAGGTAACAACTTCCCAAGAGTCGATAACTGGGTCGTAACATTCGATACTGCTGAGGAGAGAGTTCCCGTCATATCTGGAGAAACGGAGAGGAACTGAGAGTTTGAAACACAGCAGGAAACAGAGCTGAGTGAAGCCACTGAACAAGATCACATTACTACTGTCTGACAAGCTTGCTGCAGAATGCTGTACCGATTCCAAGTTAAATCAGACAATTCCCCTTCAACCCTGAAACATGTTGTGTCTTATAGCTGTCTGTGTACATTAGTACCATGAAGAACAAATATGAAAACACAGTAGTAACTGCTGCTCAAATATCACTAATGTACAGTTGAAGTCAAAAGATTGCATACACTCATTGTGCGCATGAATGTTGTGGTAATTTGGGGCTTTTAATAATTTTGGTTATTGGTTCTTTATCAGGGGGGCATTTTTGTATAGCATACATCTATAATGACTATAATAACAAGATTTGGGTGCACAGGTGTGTGTGTTTTTTTTTTTTTAATTTCTCTAATCAGGGTCCTTACAGGGTTAAAAGTATACATGGAGGCTCAAATATATGTACTAATATTGTGTCTCTTAGCAAGTTGCGCTTCAACCAGCTCTTGGTGGCCATCAATAAGCTTCTGGTATAATTCTGCGTGGATATTTGATCACTCGTCTTGTTCGCAGAATTTATTTAAATTAGTTGGTTTTCTGGCAGTAGGCTTTGCTTTTAAGCCACGTCCACAAATTTTCAATATGGTTGATGTTAGGGTTTGGGCTCATTGTCCTGTTAGAGCCCCCAGTTGTTTCCAAGTTTCAACTGTCTAGGTATTGATTTCAGGTGAAGTTAAAGAATTTAATCCACTTTGTGCAATTTACCAGCACCACTGGCAAATAAAAGCCTCAGAGCATGATGCTACCACCTGGTGTGAACGCCTCTTAACTCCTCCAAACATGCTTCTTGTCATTGTGGTCAAATAGCTCAATCTTTGTCCCGTTTGACATTGCATGACTTTCATGCCCATGGTCAGTATATGTAAACTTCTGACCACAATAATTTGTCTGCTAACAATATGAATGCAAAGATAAAATCAGCCTATTTTACGAGGACCCCCCATCCTCTTTTTCAGCTCTGTATATATGGAATACACTGAAATAGCTTCGTATGTGTCACAGTTCACCATTATTCATCTTATCCTGGGGCTTTGTGCAGTCAGTAAGTTCATCTGTCTGAACAACCCAGATTAGTTTCCTTTCCCTGCCCTGTTATTGTGTGTCATAAGTAGATATGACAGAAAATAAGGAAATGTATCATATGTCATCTTTAGCATCATGATTAGGACACCTTACCTAAGAGTGTTAGCGATAATTTATAAGTTGTCTCTGTAGCTCAAATTGCTCTGAATTTAAACCACTTACAGATGCCATGCTCATGTGTGGTTTTGATAAACAGTTTGGACTTTGTCACTTTGGGGAATTCTGAAAATGAAATGCACTGAATGTTTAAGAAGAAGATTTTAATTACACTGAAATGCTAGAAGGGAAGAAAAAAAAGGAAAAGGCAAAACACAACAAAGACAAAGCAGGGACTGCTTTGGTAAAAGGTGTGTTACGTGAGAAAATACAATCAAGGAAACAATGTTTTTAAGTATCAGATGAGCGAGTTTGAAGGTTAATTAGATGTCAAGAAACTACTGTTAATGTACTATGAAACACGACTGTGCATTGCAGAAAAAAATGAAAAAATAAACAAATCTGTGTGCTTTGCCAGTAGCTTCCAGTGTTTGCATCTCCACTGCAGTCTCTGAAATTAATGACCAGGCTGAACCCGCTAAGGTGATCTCAACCTCAGTTTGTATTAGTTCACATTTTTGCTCAGCTTTACCGTTTTCTTTTCAGTTCAGTTTACTTTCACTACGTTTCCAGAGTTGGCGTGCTTGTTTTAAGTTGAGCTTTTACGGTTTGAAAATGTTTCGTTTAAGTGTCAGTTTAGTTTTTCTGTTCTGGGACTATTCGTCATGAGCATGACTCAAGAAGGTCAGAACCTGTATTACGATACAAACACATGGCTCACAACCATGTGGGCACTCCAGTTTAAGTAAACATAATGTCCTCCTAATGTTTGTTGTGCTTACATTTTTGAACAAATATACTAAAACTAAAGCATGTTTTAATTTGAATTATTTCTCTAAGGATGTGGTATTGTTTCAGTAACTATAATAAACTGGGGTCTGACCCAAGATAAATGGAATATGGTGGGATTACATAATGCATTCACATTAAAAAACATTTCCTTTATGCAATCATTAAAATTCTTATGTCTGTGTGCAGACTTGTTGAAAATACATATGTGATCTATTCTTTACTATTAATGTGTGCACTGTATGCAGGGAGCTATGAGACATTCTTTCCGTACACCAGCTTCTCTATGCTGAGTAAAATCAGGAACAAAACCCATAATCTCTGTAAAAATACATTCTGAGGCTCAGTCGAAGCCTGAGTGCTCAAAAGTTGCTTTTTTAGTGCTACATTCTCTACTTGTGTTTCTCCACACAGCGTGAAGGGATTCCTCGTGTTATCACTGGGACAAAAAGCAGTCAGTAGACTTGACGGACCATTTCTTCAGAAAGCATTTATACTATGAGAATAACGATAACGTACTGAAACTGGTTTCACTTCATAGTCTACATGGAAAGAAGGCACAATAACCCAAAAGCCCGCCAATATTCATATCATATGTGAGCGCTGTATTAAGTAAAACCCCTTTAGGACTATTGCCACAGCAATGGAACTCTTTCTTACCCGGCGATGGCGTAGAGTCGCCCTCGGAGAACGGTGGCTCCTACATAACACCGAGGAGTCGTCATACTGGCTACAGTGGTCCAGTAGTCTGTTCTGATGTTGTAGACTTCGACGGAGTCAAGGTGTGAAACGCCATCAAACCCTCCCACTACATAAATGTGGTCATTGAGCAAAGCCACACCGGCCCCTGGAAACAGCAGGAAGGCGTCAACAGACAGCAGCACAGCTCGCAGGAATTTGGATCGGATATCAGTGTGACCATAGCTCAAAAAGTTGTACTGAGTATCTGTGACAGTGGCCCATTTTATGTATGATGTTCTTTGTTTACTACACCATGCATCAGCAGCAGTGTGAATGGGAGAGCTAACAAAGCATCAAGGAAAGCATCAAGAGGTCAGCTGTCTGGAGGAGATGCGTGCTTCCCACTCCAACACAGCTACAACAGCTTCTTGTTATATGCCTGAACTTGCAACTTCAAATTTTTTGCCGTGTTTTTTTTTTGTAGTCAGCAGCACACTGTGGTCAAGTCTGTTAACATGACTGAAACACAAAAAACCTTTCAAAACCAGCATCTCTTGCTCAATCACTTTCACTGTCTTTAAGTTTAGATTAACATTTGATTGGAAGCTTTTAGAAATATTAAATAAATAATTTTACAAATAAGGCAAATGTTTTATTTTTAAATAAATACCAATCCATGGGCATGTGCTTAGAAGGGATAATAGATACACATGACAAAGGATGTTGAATATGGAGCTGCCAAGCAGGAGGGAAAAAAGCCCCCAGAGGGGGTTAATGGGTGCAGTGAAGGAGGACATGTAGAGGGTTGGTGTGACAGAGGAGGATGATAGGGATAGGTGAGATGGAGGAAGATGATCTACTGTGGGAACCCAAAACAAGGGAGCAGCCGAAATTAGGAGACAATAACTTGCAGTGGATTGGTACTCGATGTCAGCAGAAAGTCAAAACCAAGCCATCGGTAATGTATCCAAACTGGAAAAAAGATTATGTTTTATTACCTACCTGACCGTTTGGTGGCCATGGGTGTGACACTAGTCCAGTGGCCTGTGTGTGGGTCATACCGCTCCACCGAATTCAGGATGTTTAGCCCATCATAGCCACCTGTCAAGAAATGGATGGTCAGAAAACTAATCATGATGAGCTTGTTTATGCTGCTGTTCAACAGAGTTCTAACTAAAGACTGTGATGTCTCCCGCTGGCTTGTAAATTCTTTATTGTGAAGACTCAAGCTGAGCGTTTTGGCACTCGCCATCTTAACTTTTTAAAACGCTCATTTTGTAGCAACTTGACAGGCCCACTTAAAAGTGCCTTCTGCTATGTCATCCTAACAAACATTATGCTGCTTTGCATGCACATGCAAACATAAAGACTGACTCAGGGGACACATCAGGAAAGCTGAGGTCCATTTTTCCATTCACTACGGTAAAATCTAATTTCTTTCTAAAGGGAATCAGGGATAGGTTTCACTTTTCAGACCCAGAAACTATGATGTAAAAATATTTTTGGTTTATTTTATGAGCTAAAGCAGAGATTACCTTTGAGGTCAGAAGGAGAATATAAGCAGTTTTCTAAAGAAATCTTAACCAAAACGCTAACGTTATGGCTATGCCGAATCTCCCTAAAATCTAAAAAGTTATAAACCACATGATTAACCGAAAAACCAGCCAGAAAAAATACACATTAACATATTTTTCTTGACACGAAACAAAGACGAAATGATAACTCAGTTTTTATATTTGCCTGCACTGGAAAACATGGAGTTCTCATTGCATTGTGGGTTGCTTGCAGCCTTAATGTGTCTGTCAGAGTTAGTCAGCTCTCAAAGTAATTTATCCTGTAGGAGTTTTTGAGAGGAGTCCAATGACTGAGTACAAACTGCCTCCTGACATCTTCTGAGGGAAACCAACTTTGGATAAACTCTTTAGGTGAACAGCCAAGAATTACTACTGTCATAAACGACAAGGAGCTCTAAGAGACATGCCTGTGAAATGGTTATTGCTGGAGAAAATAAAGACAGCTTCCATGAAACTGATGGTAGAGTGTTTCAGAACAACTGACTATGTTAAAATGGTTTTACTTTATGCTTTCATTGTTATAAATAAAAGGAAAGGAGGGTGAGAATTTGTCTTTTAATCACATACTGTATGTATAAAATGGTAGTTGCTTCATGATTTGAAAAACTAAGCCAATGTGAAAGTGCCTTAACCATGTATTCTTTCTAATCGAGCGACTTCTCTGGTTGCAAAAACAAATGTCTACTGCTCAAGTGATCTCTGACCCCAGTCTACCCTTTCTTGATGAGTTTATGGTCTCAATTGCTAGTTTCAAGTCTTAAAGAATACAACGTGTGTTTGTTTCTTAGAATACCATCTTCGCTAGACTCAAAAAGATCGATGAAATGTAGGTGTTATGACTTTAGCTGACACCAAGAGGAGAGACAAATCTCTGGGAGGGTTGCGTCAGGAAGGGCATCTGATGCGAAAACCTTCTAAATCAAATATGCAGAGCTACACACTGGTGGCCTCTAGCCTCAGCGCAAATCAACACCCAGCATTTCCAACTCTTCTGTTCCACCTATAAAGGCTTGCTAAATTTTCCAGTCAATGAAAATAAAAATCAGAAGAAAGTAAATGGATGAAAAAGAAGAATTAACTGTACAAAACCAACAACAAAAACTCCATCCTCAGTGACACAGCACTAGGCATAATAGTCTGACGTGTGCATTTTCACTCATAGTGACTACTTAGATTGGTACTCAGTCATCACAACATGGAAAACTTCTGCTTATGGGGAAATCTGAGCATAGGGTGGCCCTTGCATTTTGCAAATTTGAAAATGAAACGCACTGATTGTTTAAGAAGATTTTAAAGAAAAAAAAAAAGGGAAAAGGCAAAACACAACAAATATAAATCAGGGACTGCTTTTGTGAAAGGTTCCCTACTTCACATAATGATAAAATACAATCAAGAAAACCATGTTTTAAGTATCAGTTAGAGTTTGAAGGCTCATTAGATGTCAAAACTGTGCATTGGAGCAAAAGCTGAACAAATAAAAAACAAATCTGTGCTTTGCCTGTAGCTAGCACCCCGACTGCAGTCACTGAAATCAATGACCACGCTGATTTTCATAATGATTTTCATGAATCATTACGATATGAAAACATCCAGATGTTGACGGATGAAACAGTCAAGGGTTATAGGTCTATGTCCACCTTTTATATACAGTCTATGCTGGTTTTCAGGTTAATATTTGGGCCCATGTGATAATCAAATTTTGATGACTGTGTATTTTTGTCTCCATACCTAGACAGTATATAAGCCCGCTGGCCACCACCAAACCAGCTCCTTCTCTAGCTGTCTGCATATCACCCAGCATGCTCCACTGGTCGATGTTTGGATCATACCGCTCCATGCTGGTATGACGCCGACTGCCATCGAAGCCACCAGCAACATAGATCATATCTGTCAAGAGCCAATAACACCACAGCTCTCTCATTAAACATGAAAAATGGAGATGGACAAAGAAAATCACAGGTGATTTCAGAAAAGGGACTAAGATCACTGAGCACAGAATGTCTCTGACCTCCAAGTGTTGTAGCTCCAGCAAGGCCTCGCCGAACATTCATGGTGGCGACGGTGTACCAAACACCGTCCTCATCTGCTGTGTAGTCCAGGCACTCCACGGAGCTGAGCCGCGACCGGCCGTCATAGCCCCCGATCACATAGACTCGATCGTGCAAAGAAACGGTGGCCACGTAACGCCTTTTCCGTGCAATATTCTGTTTAAGACACAAGTGTCAAACTCATTTGAGTTCATGGGCCACATACAGTCTAATTTAATCTACAGTGGGCACTGCATTATAACTAAAAAGAAACCAACTCTGCAGACATGAACCAAAGCCAGAGCAAAAGACACATGAACTGAAATCTATTAGAATTCTTTTCAAAGCAAAGATGATAGAAATCTATCTTCCAGGGAAAAAGCTTTTCAAAATCCTATGTTTGGGAAAGACAGGAAACTCTTTAAGCCGAGCTGCTTTTCACTATACTTGTTATCACTATAATTAAAGTAAATTTAGATAATTCTTCACAATAACTGCAAAAAAGAGGTGTTCAAACTTGCTTTTAGAACAACTTTTGCCATTTTGAGATATAAGAAAGCTGAAAGCAGAAGCCTGAGTAAAAGACAACCCTTAACCCTACACCCTCACAAATTTACCAGCCATTAGCAAATACTGTATTCTATAGAACAGTGGTCTCCAACCTTTTTTGCGCCACGGACCGGTTTATGCCCGACAATATTTTCACGGACCAGCCTTTAAGGTGTCGCGGATGAATACAACAAAGTAAAACTAGATCAAAGCTGTACAGTTTTTGATTTTGAAGAGGATTTCATGTGTTCATGATTCAAACAACTTCACTTTTAATTTTCTGTCCATTTCTTGTGTAATGTGGGCATCATGAAAAACCTTGCATTTCATTGACAAATTGGAAGCAATTTATGAGTTCAATAACACGTTCACACTTTACACTGCATGTTTGACACCCCTGGTTCAACAGCCAAATACATGCATCAAATTAATACTTACAGGCAGAAAGGTCCACTCTTGAGTTTTGGGATCATATTTTTCAACTATGTCTATTGGTGACTGCTGGCTGCCAAACCCACCGATAACCAGCAGGACTTCTTTGGCACCTTAAAAGAAAATAATGTATTTTACAAAGCTTCTGTCTACAAGACAAGTATTTAGCTAAAGTGCAGTTGAAAACTGGATTCCTACCTAATCTGGCTTGTGTGCGCGGGCCTTGCATCTCACTCCTCAGCTCCGGTCTTAAGTGGAATTTCTTGGCTTCGTCAACAAGGTCTCGACATGGCAGGCTACACCGAATGAGAGGCTAAGACGAGTAAAAACTTGCTTAATTACGGTGTGATAAAAGTTGACAGAAAAATCTTTCATAGGAGGCATGTGATTACACAACAACCCACAAAGCGTCGCCTGGCTCACCTCAGTATCAATGACATCTGTAATGTAGCGGGGGGTCAGCAGCGGCATCCGAACAAACTCCAGCATGTCTGGCAGGTAGGGCTCCCGCTCTTTGCGGTTGTGTTTGACCCAATTTAACACGGCCTCGAATACAGGCTCCTCCGAGTCCACCTGCATACCAACAACATATACAGTAATGACACCTGACAGTAAATCTACACAACGCTGAAGGATTTGCTAACAGCTGCAATTGAACTATTGCACAAGACTGATTTTTGATGCAAGCTTTTTTTTTTAATAAATATAATTACTTGTGGCAAGACTAGTGGCAACAATTCAAGAGACTTCTGCAACTGCAAAGACAAAATGTACAAAGGTGAAACAGCGCAGTCTGCTAAAATAAACTTCAAATCCTCAAAGATGACAGAAAACTTTAACTGAAGGCAAATTATGCGTGACTACGATTTACATGTATGGTCTGGTTTTATTTTAAAAACAACAAATATGACAGGAAAGACAATTTGACAGAACTTGTGATCTATAAATCATCATGTGATAATAACTATGTTTTTATAAAGCGGGGTATGTGGTTGGGAAACAGGAATTTCCTGAGCACAAAGCCAAACTTAAATCAGATTCACTTCTCTGCAATTTCATTGTCAGGTCAATCCACAACACTGACTGGAACTTGGGTGGTTGGGTTGTTGGGGGGGGGAGGTCACAGACTGATTCTGTAGCAGGTTTATACTTGCTTTTCATTTTTGGCGCTTAGATTGTTGACAGATATTATAGAAGCTGTGAAAGTCAAGCTCAATTTACATTAAATCAACTATTTGTTTCAGGGATCTTAGACTGAAATTTAACTATTTCAGTAGTACTGCAGACTAAAGTTATCAAATAAAGTGGAAATTCTTCATTTTAGTTTATTTTAGTAAAATCTATATAAACTGTCTGATTTGGCTTTAGTGCATTTGTAGATATACAATGTCTATGTGACTGTGATGCAACAGCCTTCACAAAAAGTCATGTTTGAACTGCAATGCCTGTTTGGATTTCCCTAAATCTTCCCCCTGATAAATATCCTCCATATAACTCATACTAACCAAGGAAACTAAAACTAAATATTTTCAAACTACAGAAACTAAAATGAAACTAATAAAGCCACTCTGGAAAGTAACTGAAAGGGAACTGAATTGAAAACAAAAAGTCAATCAAACCAATTAGAAAATACAAAACTATATCGCTAACTCTCATGCAGACAAAAAAGTTACCAGGCAACTTTCAGGTGCTTGGAGCAACAAAACACAAAGCAGCATTCACAGCACATTTAAAAAGATCTTTAAAGAGAAGCAAGCTTCCCTGCATGCAGTTTTCCTACCTGAATTTCATCACATTTTATTAGCTTTTCCACTTCTGTCTGGCTCAGCAGCATGAACTCCTCATGCTGAACCACCTCGGAGAAATGCTTCTGGGAGAAGAGCTCAGCAGCCTGCATCAGGTCAAGGCAGTTGTGCGTCTCTGCAAAGTCTCGAATGCCCAGACAGTTGGAAGGATCGAGTTGGCTCTCCAAAAAATCACAACACGCTCTTTTCACCCCTAGGGAAGAGGGAGATAGGTTTGTACACACATGCACCATTTGTAGCCTTAACTCTTTCAAAAACCAGCATGTAATTCTCTCTTAATTTGGAAACGCAGAAGGCATTTTAATGGAATAGTACCACTGTTTAATAAACGTTTCACTAGCACACCAACCAAATTAGAAAGTAGAATTTTAAATTGATGATTAAGCCTAAAAATAATTATTACATCACATTTTCTGCGGTTCCCAGCAGACTATAATAATTCTGGATGATATGATTAATATTACAAACAGACTCATGCACACTCTCTACAAAAATATATATTTTTGCAACATTCGCTGTCATTTTTTTGTTTTACATTTTTTATATAACATTATATGGGGTCCGCTAAGATGAGCTGGATGAGGCGGCCAGGGAGCGGGAGGTCTGGGCTCTCCTGCTTAGACTGCTGCCCACTCATCCTGGCAGAGGATGGATGGATGCATGGATTTTTCCAGGTGCCATACAAGGTATGAATACAACACTGGATGACTGATTGATTACACTGCCGTAACTGGGGTTCAAATTAAGCCCTTACGTTGTTGCATGAATGGACTTAGGAATTAAAGATGATCCATTTAAATCTGTAACTGGATGAATTTCCCAGTTACTAACGTTTGCGAAAGTGACTTATTTCAACAAGCCTGCTTAATAAACCTCCAAAATCCAACATTACAACAACCCAGTTTATTCTACTTGGTAGATACATAAACTGACCTAAATCATGCTAAAACTAATACATTACTGCCTGCAAAAGGCAAGAGGAAACAATTCAAACTTTGTAATACCTGGTAACATTTATTTTTGAGGACACTGAATAAGACGTTTCAAGATCTGGGGTTACAGTCATGAGAAAAGACGGCTTAAGCAAACTCTTTAATCATTATGTTTATATTCTTTAATCATAACTTTAATTAACATGAACACTGTAAATATGCCACATTTACCCATACACACTAATTCTGATCAGCAGACTGTGTTAAACAGACATAATTATATTATGTTATATTAACATGTTAAACAAAGTTATAAAAGCTCAAAACACTTCTGAAGACAATGTCAAAACCAGAGACAATTATTAGAAACTTTTTAAATCAAGGTACAGCTCTGAACTTACCTTTGAGCTGTAGCAAACACGCTGCAGGGAGCAGCTCTTGTACGTTCTCCACCGTGACAAGCACAGTCTCTGTGTAGACAAAGTCCAACAAGATCTCCATAGTGGATGCCGTGAGCCCCTGAATGTCGACAAAAGATTTCCCCTTTTCTGCAAGCTACAGAGCCACAACAACACATTATTTGAAGGATTATTTTTGAGAATCATCCTGCATTTTAGGCAAATGTAACACCACCTTAAGACACCCAGAAAGGCCAACAAAGAAAAAAACAGCATAAAAGAGTGCATCAGGAACTGGGGCATCTATTTTTCAAACATTATTACCTCGCTAGTGAACATGGCACAAAAATAGTCACTGCAGGCAGCCAAGACAATTCGGTGAGCTGGAAAATCAGTGTTCTCCACCCTCAAAGTGATGTCGCAGAGTGTGTTGCTCTTGCGAAGTGAGTTCATTGCATTGAGGATGGATTTGGCATGGGAATTGGTCATGATGTCTTTGGGAGCCATGCTGCTTTGAGAATCCCTTATGGATCTCAAACTACTAAATGAATCTGGAAAAAAGACAGTCTATTTTGAAAACATCCTTTGGGAAGAAAGGTATTCCACAGTAAGCATAAAAGCACACCACAAGGACACATTTTTATATATTGTACAAGCAAGTCATGCAGCTAGTCAGTGTGTGTGTGTGTCTGTCAGTAATTTGTCAGTTGGGTTGAACTGCTGGCTATTCACAAGATGGGTTTGTGACACTTTGTGGGAAATGATAACAGATTCACTATTTTACACCCTTTTTACAACATTTTATAAAAAAACAAACAAACAAAAAAAACCCAATGTACATGAAAATGTACATGAAAAAAATATTTTATATAATACTTACTTAATATATATATACTTTGTATTGTGTATTATTTCTACAATGTTTTTTCTTGGCAAAGACAAGAAATAGCATAATTTATTCTGCTTATCGGACAGCAATGGAGAGAAAATACTGACTATCATAGAAGCACTATAGTATTTATAGTGCTGTATTTGCCCGACTTCTGGATTTATTTCTTGCAAACAATTACTTGATTTATTAAGGGGGGGGGG